TTCTGTCCTTTTCCTCTGTCCCTCTTCCTTCTTCCCTTCTTTCTTTCTTTCCCTCCTTTTGTTCTCTCCTTTTCCTCTTCCCCTCCTTTCTTCCCTTCTCTCTTTCTTTCCCTCTTTCCTTCTCTCTACTCTCTTTCCTTCCCTCTTTCCTCCTTCTGTGGCCAAACTCTCTTCACTTCCCCGCCCCTTGCAGGCCAGCTGGGGAAGGGGAGGGGAGGCTTTTGAAGTTGCCTCCCCCCCCCCCTTTAGCTTCCTCTTCTGTCATCCCTTCTGGTGATGTCAGGGTGTGTGGTTCACTGGTCTAGTAGCTCATTAGCATACATTATGCTAATGAGCTCCTGCAGCTCTTTTTCTACAAAATGACCCCTGCCCAGTGCTCACGTTGAGACGAAACTCAACGTAATCTGCCCTCTACAATTCTGTGAGCCAAACTTTGCCCAACTCTGCTGTGGAAACAGGTATAGATTGCACATATCCTTTGGTGTGATATGAGTAAATCAAGCACCTTATTTTGTTTTTTCTAAAGACGAACTGATCAACCAGATACTGTGCCACTCTGAGATCTGAGTCCAGTAACACCTTAGAGGCCAGTTAAGATTTTGGAGATATGAGTTTTCAAGATTCAAACCTCCCTTCGTTGGTATCTGTTCCCAGAAGTGACGAAAATGTTGTTTCGGAGTCCCACTGGTTCTAAGGAATACTTTGTGCAATTCATCAAAAACGAGTTTCTTGTAACAGGCATCTCTAAACCGTGGCGGATCTTACGGGAGACCTTCCCATGTGACCTAGACTCGATAAAGTGCTCGTATCCTAATATCACTTCTTCTCCCTCAGGCCGCTGATGGACTTGTTCGACAAACGGTATTATCTGGCAGTCCCGTACGACGAGTGCAAACAAAGACGAAGGTGAGGGCAGTTGCCTCGTTGTCCTCCGTCTGAGGATATTGAGCTTTTCACGCCATCTTTATTTAGTTCCACAATAACCGCATGTTGCACCATTTAGATTGTTTTCCTTCTGGTTGAACTTCTGTTCCTACGCACACCTGTTTTCCTAGGAAATTAATAACACCACTCAGTCATGTGTAATTGCGGATGTAACTGCCGCTGTCGTGGCTGAGACACGTACCCCTTACACCCACTCAGTGCTGCACTATAGAGCAGCTTTCCCAGATTTACCCATATACCCTCTGTGGTGGCTACTAGTAGCACCCCTGCGTTGGTCCTCCATTCCGTGCTCATGCTGAGTCCCAGGTCAGACTGGGATGTCAAAGCATGACGGTCATTAAATCAGATAAATGCATTGGTTTGGTTTGGTGCGGTGGTTAGGAGCGCAGACTCTAATCTGGGAGGACCGGGTTTGATTCCCCACTCCTCCACAGGCAGCTGCTGGTGTGACCTTGGGTCAGTCACAAGTTCTGTCAGAGCTGTCCTCTCATGGGCAGTCCTTGAAGGAGCTCTCTCAGCCCCACCTACCTCACGGGGTGTCTGTTGTGGGGAGGGGAAGGGAAAGGAGATTGTGAGCTGCTTTGAGACTCATTTGGGTAGTGAAGGGCGGGGTGTAAATCCAATCTCCTCCTCCTCCTCCTCTTATAAGATCAGTCTCTAAGTCCAGATTTAATGGAAGAATGAGCCATAAAATAATAAATATCTTTTCAGGTGGTATGGGGTTTTTTTTGGGGGGGGGGATGGTACTTAACTTGCAGGTAACCTTCTAAAGAAAACATGGTTTATTAAGACCTTCAACTTGTTGAGTCCACTCAGTTGCACTGTTTCTGAGACAAGAATGAGATTCTATCCCAACGTATTCCTTTCTGTGGTTTTGCAGTACACGTAGATATACCGTTCCTGACCCCCCCGGTCTCTTCGATGGCCATGTCTGGCCCATGTACCTGAAACACAGGAAGGAAATGGAGGCCAGTGCAGTCGATGTCGGTAAGTCATTCGGGACACAAATTGCATGCACCTGATTTAAAAATATCTTTTGAGATTTACTTGTTTGCAAAAACTTGATTGCGACTAGGGGACAGACAGTGAATGCAGTGAATCACATACTGACAACATTCAAAGTTTGAGAAAGGTTTCCCTGAAGTAACAGTATGTTGGCGCTGCAGTCCTAGGCAGGGTTACACCATTCTCAGTCCACTGGCTTCAATGGACTGAAGAACGGTGCAACTAAATTTAGGATTGCAGTGTGAGGCTGCGATCACACACACTAAATAATCCACTTCCAGTGCACTTTCGAATTGGATTTTGCCAGTTCACATCATAAAATCCAGTTGGAAAGTGCATTGAAAGTGGCTTATTTAGTGCAGGGGTGTCGAACTCATTTCTTATGAGGATCTGACATAAATGAGACCTTGTTGGGCCGGGCCATGTGTGTCATAAAATGTGATGCCCGGTAGTGGAGATATAAACTTTATAAAGGACACAAACACAAAGGTTTTTTTAAAAAAACTTAAAATAAAAATATCCTTAAAACATTAGCGCTCTTGATTATATTTTGTTTATTTAGCAGTGTCTGATAACTGACACCTCTTGCTCTGAATGATTGCACCAGAATGTCTGTGCTGTTACAATCTTGAGTATGCTGTTCAGGTGTGTATCCGTAAGCTGCAAACCTACAATGACGCAGCAGCAGCAGAACTGGAAGACAGCCAGTTCCACTGAGGGCCTGATAGAAGCCCTCCGGGGGCCTGATTTGGCCCCCGGGCCGCATGTTTGACACCCCCGATTTAGTGTGTGCGATCGCAGCTTGAATCTCAACTGCAAAGTGACTATTCACGATCGTGTCCCATAGCACTGCACTGAGGGCCTACCCATCCTAAGCACTAAAAGGACAATTTTAAATGTAATTTATAATTCTAGCTAGAGGAACAGATCTCTATATTCATCCTCCTGAGTTTTAAATTAACTCGTCTACCAAAACCGCTGGAAGCAAAACTGCTCACTGTCAATTCTTTGCTCTTTCTATAGTTTATCTGGATGGACTGAAGTCCAGAGACGCTCTTTACATGGAAGTATTTGAAGAGATACAGAACAAGCTTCTTAACGCTTCATAGGTGGATATATTTTGACTATGATGTGTTTTCTCCCTTCCCTTAGAGCAACAGCTGCCTCTTTTCTTGTATATACTTTGAACGTTGATTTTATTTTTCTTCTTGCTTTTCAGGGTCTGTGGAAAACTGGAAGGTCCTTGTACAGATTTGATGTAAATACTGTATTAATAGAAATGTGTAGACTTTCTGATACTGTCCTTTGGAAAACAAAGCTTTGTATATAATTGAAAGGTAACTTATTGACAATTTGGCCCTGGACAAGTTTTTTTTTTTTTTTTAAGAAACCTTTTATATTTCATTGGTGCAAATGTATGCATTTTTAAAATAATGGAGCACTTGGATTCAGTGTGTGAGATGTTATGATGTCCGTATCTTTGTGTCAATTGTAAGCCCCTGTTGAATTGCTTGCGTAATACAAGTATTGTACACTGAATAAAGAAGCATATAAATTTATGGTCTCTTGTGCTGCACCACCAATCAGTGTTTTTCAGTTGCCCACAGACCAGAAAATTCTTAGACTCTTTAAACTGTTACAACACCGCATCGCTGCTTCTACCTTTCTTTTCTGTTCATACAGGCAAAGGTTCCTCCTGTTCAAACAGATAAAAGTAAAACCAACTTTGTTGCATCTACATATTAAACTTACACGGCTTTCTGGACTACCATTCACATTTTTCCCGTACTGTTATAAAGGAAAACAAGCTTCCAGGCGGCAGAAGGCTTTTCTGAGTAGCAAAGCTTACTAATGACCCATGTCAAAACAGAGAAAACTACCAAATCAAAATATTTATTTGTCTAGGGGGGAAAGCAGGTCAATTAACCCAGGTTGGCCTCGGCTTGTCAGTCCTTGGGAGCGAAGCGGGAGCAGCCATGTCCAGTATTTGTGTTGGGTATTACAAGTTGAAAACACTCAGTCTATCTGGGGTTAAATGTTTGTTTGTGTTGCTCACAGGAAGTCACATGTGTTTCATGTAATCAATGCTGTTTTAGGAGTAGAAGCCCAGGAATTTTTTGTCCCTGATCTAGAAGTTTGATTGGAGTGATAGTGTCAAAGTGTTTTAGCATTTTATGGCTCCTCTTCCCGTCTTTGCTGTTCTCAAGAAGAAGTAAGAGAAGCCATATCTGCTCTCTTCTAGTCTTGTCCTTTGTAGAGTAAAGATGTAGCCATTTAGCTCCGTTGTTATTTTCATCCCAGTTACCCTTCCCTATGCTAGAATTTAGTAAAAACTTTATATTTTAATCACACATGGACTCTGAGTCTGAATTATTTTATTCTGGCACTGCTAAGCTATTTTATCTCTGCTAAATACAATTTTTCTCAATCTCACAAAACCCAACAATTTGGATGGAAGCAGGGGTCATTTCATAGAAAAGGGGTGCAGGAGCTCATTAGAATAACTCATTTGCATATGTCACACCCCCTGACATCAGAAGTGTGTCAGAAGGCAACACCCACCGCTCAGGCTCCACTGGACTGTTTTGGATTGCTAGCTATTGGGGGGGGGAACGTGCAGATCTGTCCTTGCAGAGGAGGGAGAGCTTCTACCTGAAGGCGGGGGGGGGGCTCTACAACTTACCTGGCTTTCCTCTTGCTCCTCGTGGCCCGACTGAGGGCTGCTGGGAGCAGGGGATGGGGATTGTTGCATGTGTCCGCCCCCTGGGCACACGCTCCCGCAGGAAATGGCCCCTGGCAAAGACAAAAACTAAATAACAAGCTAAGGTTACAAAGTCAGCAGTTCTTTTGTTAAGGGGGGAAAGGACAGCAAAGTAATCAATATGTCAAAATAGGGGATAAATGTGTAAAGGCATCTTTTCTAATTTGTGGTAAGTAAACAGACTCCCAGAAGGGTTAGATATAGGGTTGTCAACATCCTGGTGGTTACTGGAGATCTGGTATTACAACTGATCCCCAGGTAACAGATCAGTTCGCTTGCAGAAAATGGCCGCTTTACAAGGTGGGCTCTATGGCCTTATACCCCACTGAAGCCCCTCCCCATATCCTGCCCCCCTCAGGCTCCACCCCCGAAATCTCCAGCTATTTCTCAACCCAGACCTGGCAACCTTAGATATTTCGCTGGGGGACAAAGGAAGACTTGGGGAGAAAGTTAAGACAAGCAAAAACGGCCCATTAGGTTTCATTGCCAGTTAGCTTTATGAAATGCATAGCAAGAGAAGCAGTCTGATTTCCCATTGCGAGATAATTACATAGATGCAGATTGGCCGTAACCGAGAAAGCGGTCCACATTAAAATGGGGTGCTACATCTTTTCAGCTGAACTTTGGTGGTTATCTTGCAATCAAAGGGATTGCATTTTTCCTTTTGCCGAGACTGAACACTAGCAGGTGGTTGGAATTCAAGATGTATGTGAGCAAACAGACCCAGCCCTGAGTTCACACCTTTTTTGTGTGCATGGGTAAGGCCTGCCGAGAGGAAAAACAACCGTTATCTTTTATTGCCTTCACCCCATCATGTGTTTGTGTCAGGAGTTAAACCTCCATGGTACCCAGAGCTGGAATGAGTCATCTGTGCCCTTTCAGTTTTTATCCTGATGTACGTGACAATGCACGTCCCACCGACTGGTTGCTGACAGGCAATTAAAACCAGGGTGACTCAGTGGATGAAAGTGTCCCCGTGGGACCTCCCTCCCAGTATGGGTCAAGCCTCAAACGGGGTGTCTTCCAAAATGATGATGTAATCTGCTTGAGGCAATGGAAAATGCTTGAGGCGCTTTACAGAGCGTTTTAAAAAACCAAATGCTTATATGATTATACACGTTATAAGCAGGGGTCATTTCCTGCAGAAGCGCACAGGAGCAGAGCTCCGGCAGTAAAGAGCCCAGGGGGCGGGCACATGCAACAAGCCCCGCCCCCTGCTCCTTCTCTCCCTCTTTCTCTCCTATTTCTTTCTTTTCCTCCTTTTTTCCTTCTCCTTTCCGTCTCTCCCTCTTTCTTTCCCTCTCTCTCTTAGCACAGATCTGTGTGAGGGCAGATCTGTGCGTGCCCCCCCCCCCAGCTAGCAATCCAAAACAGTCCAGTGGCACCTTTAAGACCAAGTTTTATTCAGGTACAAGCTCTCCCTCCTCTGTGAGGACAGATCTGCATGTCCCCCCCCCCAATAGCTAGCAATCCAAAACACTCCAGTGGAGCCTGAGCGGTGGGTGTTGCCTTCCGACACACTTCCGGTGATGCTAATGAGCTCCTGCACCTCTTTTTCTACAAAATGACCCCTAGTTATAAGGATGGCTAGGATTTTGTATGCAAAATATTGGAGAAAAGAAGTCCCATCAAAAGAAGAAATAATCTACAAATTACTTGAAACAGTGGAAATGGACAAACTAACTTTACAACTACAAGATAAAAAAGAAGAAATCTTTGAGAAAACATGGTCAAGGCTATATAAATGGATTGAGAAATATCTTCACAGTGGTACTGTGTAACTATAAAAATGTTTTTATATACTCTAATTTGTTAAACTGGTCTAGGTGCATAAAAGAATGATTCTAATTATGTAAAATTCAAGCAGATATATTGAGTACATGCTTCTTGCCTGTTATGTGTTAGTCTTCTTGTATTTGTAGTGTCTGGACCTCTTTTTATCTGTAAAAAAATCAATAAAATCTTTTAAAAAGAAAAAAAATGCTTGAGGCACTTTTATTTATTTATTTATTTATTTATTTATTTATTAGATTTTTATCCCGCCCTCCCGCCGAAGCGGCTCAGGGCAGCTTACAACATTAAAACCAGTAAATACCTGGGTTTTTTCCCCTTCCAGTGCCACAGTAAAGTATTCATTCACTCATTTAGTTAAGGATGCTTTCTACCAAACAAAGAATGCCAAAGAGGACTGACAAAGAATAAAAACAAAGCACTGACGTAATTAATTTTTAAAAAATTACTTAAAATGACACACACATACCCCCCAAGCCCTGACCTGAATAGCCCAGGCAAGCCTTGTCAGATCTCTGGAATGGAGAAATTTCCTGTGAGGTATTAGTTGCTAGAATCCTAAGGTGGGCTTCCTGAAAAGGATGAGAAAGGACAAGCAATATGTCCTTCAGACGTTAGTCCTCAGACCAGGCAATTAATTCTTTGTGGGGATCCCTGTTTCACCAGAGTTCCCTTTACCAAAGCTCATGTAAGTTCTCTGGACGTGAGGATGCATTTGTGTAGCTATAGACTAAGCAGGGTCAACTCTGGCAAGAACTTGGATGGGAGACCTCCTTGGAATATCAGAGGCGGGGGCAGGCTTTATTCAGCCACCGCTGAGGTCAAGAGACGCCCGGGCCACTTCCATTTTTGAGGGGGCCCCCCATAAATTAAAAAATGAAGACGTGCGAAAACAATGGTACAAAATTAGTAGTATTCTATTTTAAATGTTTACATTTAATACAGTAAGAAAAAGAATATTGGCCTCGGTCACATGGAGGATTTGCCGCGCGAAAGGCACGAAAGTCAGGCGGATTTTCGGGGCGTGATCACACCGCAACATCTGGGAAGTGTAGCACACCCGTGGCCAACCCGTGGCGTCCTGCCAAAGATGCGGAGTTAAAATGTACCCAGGAAAGTGCACTAGGATCTGGAAAACATGTGGCACAGGCGGGCGGCTGAGTTTGGGAGCGCCACAAGTGTCTAGGAATGTGACTAACAAGAATCATACCGTACAATCAGTGATGTCACTTGGAAACTGCACCTGCTTCACCTATCTCATCTGCTGTTATTCAGGTAAGGAAAGGAACAAGAATGAGGAGACACCACAGAACAGCAGAAAATCATCCCAACATGATTTTAAGAAGGGCTCGTACAGCAGAACGAGAGCTGAAGCCAACAGTCAGGTCCTCACAGAGGTAAAGAGAGGCCTGGGCCACTTCCATTGTTGAGGCCCACTGCCGAAAATGGGAGGTTGGGAAGGCTAGTATTTCTGTGTCTGTAACTACAGCCAAATTAAGAGTTAACATCAAAAGTGTAAATCTGAGGGGGGGGCAAGAATGTGAAGCCCGGGCCAAATGGCCTTGCTGCCCCCCCCCCCAGAGGCCCTGCCTCTCTTAATATCCTCCAGGCCACCAGTAGGGCCACCATGACTTCCAGGTGCACACGCACGCATGCACACATGCACATATTAAAAAATATCCCCCCAAATGTCCTCCCCAAAAAACCCAACAGCCCCAAAAACAACCACCCAGCAGCGTCAAAGGTTTAAATTTTTTAAAAAGCAGCAATAAAAAGTAAGAAGGAACCTCGCTGCCTTTCCCGTGCTGCTTATTCTGCCCCAGGAGTTCAGGGTGGGATGCATAGTTCTTTCGTTCCCACTGTATCGTCACAGCAGGCGTGGTTGAACTTGAAAATGCACGACTGGACCAAGGTCAGACAGGGACATTCATGACTGGGCAGGGATGTGAATTGGGGCCTCCCAGATCTGAGTCCAGCCCTACGCACTGTTTGAACATCAGAATACATTCCAGCAAGTTTACCAAAGCCCGCTCCTCTCCAAACGCCCTTCAAAACACTTTATCCAAACCTCTTGAAGGTTATGAGTCACAAGCTCCAACAACCCCTGAGAAGGAGCATTCCAAAGTCTGCCCTTATCCCACACGGTCATTCAACTTGCTTCCAAGGCTCGGGTTTGCTGACAAGGACTCAGCAAAAGATCTCAGGGCAAGCACATACTGGTGACGCAGGTGCTTCAGTCATACGAAATGTGAGCATTGAGATGAATGCGGAAGAATGCGTTTAACTGCTCGCTGCCTAACCGGGGGGGGATCGCGGGGGAACGCAGTTCCCCTGGGTGAGGTGCAGGGGGGTGGGGGACATGACGAAGCCCCACCCCCTGCTTCCGGCCGCCCCGCTTCCAGCCCTCATTCAGCCAGGAGGAGGCAGGAGAAGAGGGAGGGTAAGTTGCTTCCTCCCCGCCTCTCCCCACCCCTGCCTGCCTGGGGCCAGGGAGGGCCTTGGCGGGGCTTCCTCACACTCCCGCTGGCCTTGCAGGTCCACCGCCGGGCCCCTGATGTCAGGGGGTGTGGCATATGCTAATGAGTTATGCTAATGAGTTCCCCTAGCTCTTTCTCTACGAAACGACCCCTGCTAACCATCTTGTGGAACTCACTGCCACAGGGTGTATTTATGGATCCCAGCTTTAAGAAAGGATTTGACAAATGTACAGGGGAGAGAGCCACCAGTGGCGCTAGCTGCAATGACTAAATGGGGACCCTCCATGCTCAGAGGCAGTATACCTCTCTCTATGCCAGTTGCTGATGGGCAACAAAGGGGAGTTTAGATCTTTGTTCTCTTGGTTGTGAACTCTCCAGGTATCTGGCTGGCCGCTGTAGGAAGCAGGATGCTGGGCTATATAGACCCTTGATCTGATCCAGCGAAGCTCGTCTTAGGTAACAAAGCAAATCAATTACGGCTGCAATTCCTGATGAATTGATTAAGTAGACCAACAGTTCCTAACATAGCCTTTATGCCAGGTGTGGCCAAACTTGGTTAACATTAAGAGCCAAATAGAAAAAACCTCAGATGTTTGAAAGCCGCAAGACATGAACAAATATTACACACAAATTTTTATTGAAAAATATTCAAATTTGCTTTTTACTAACATTAAATGAGACTGCCAAAAATAAAAACCAAAGGGGTAAAACCAGATATTGATAATATTATTTGTCCAATGATATTTATTCGTTTGCTAATATTTATTTGTCTAAGGGTACGTTCAGACGGGCAGCTAATCCTGTCATTATGCCAGCTTGAATTTTATCCCAATCTTTTTAATCCATCGTAGCACGACCAGACATCCCCCTGGTGAATCGCCTTACTGTGTGCTGCCTCTGTTGTGGTGTTTTGCATGCATATAAGCAGGGCTCCAGCCCTGCTAGAGTTCTCTTAGAGTTAAGCTGAAATCACTAATAAACTATGAGCTGATCACTATATGCGTCTCAAACCCAGTATATTTCACTGACGACGAGTGACCTGCCGAACTACCGACCTTCCGGTCTTCAGTTCAGCGTCTTAACCTCTGAGCCACCGCAGCCCCTGCTTTCTAGGATATCTTTAACTAAAAAAGATCTTGGCTTTTACGTTCACACAGGACAAATTATTTCCAGTGTGGAATGGTGATTAAAGTCAGACAATGGCCCTTTCTGCATTTGCCTATCACTCTGGAGTTTCTCCATGTTCGAGTCGAGGCTAAGTCCACAGAAAAACAGGATCCAAATAACCCAGGGCAATAGATAAGCATATGGAGCAGAGGTCCATCAGTGGCTATTAGCCACAAGGTATCCTTTGGCCTGATCCAACATTGGCGTCTCTTATGTTCTTATGTTCTCTCCAACTCACAGCCAGGCCAGCTGCAAGGAAGTCCTGACGAGTTTTCTACATCAGCTGTGAGGGTGGGTGGGTGGGTGGGTGGGAGGCAAGACAGTCAAAGCCGAGGAACAGCTAAAATTATCCCCTGGGCTGCCCATCGAAATGAAATTCAATCTGACCCTTTACACACGCAAACGATGCATTGGCAGGGAGCGGCCATGAGCAGAAGAGCGGGGCGTGACCCACAGGCGCCCTTTCCCGTCCGTCACCATGTGTGGGTTGGCAAGAGGGGTGGGGGATGGACATGGCTTACCTGGACTTTGTGAATCACGTTACTCTTTTCCACTGCCAGCCCTTTGGATTCTCTCTCACGGTTATTTCGAGCGAGTCCGTGACCAGTCATGGCGAAGAGCAGCTGTGTCCCCGTGCCTGGCCCCTGCGTCATGAGCAGACAGCCCGTTCCGTCGGGATGCAGAAACGCATGTCGAGGAGGCCTTCCTCCCCCCCACCAGCCACCCTAAGCCTATTCTCAAAACTTCAATCTTGCATGCAAAGCGAGTTACGATTCATTTTCAACAATGCAGATAAAGATATTCAAAATGCTTTTGAACAATCCCCCCTCAAGTCTTAAATGTGAAGAGCGACGGCAGTAAAAGAAAGGCGCTAGGATCATATACTGTTTATTTGTCATCAGAAGCAAATAATGGTGACAGTTTTCACTGTTAGGGAGTGGTGTTAGTGGCTGGTGAGTTACCACCAGAGCGGAGTTTCTCAGAATAGTGCAGAGCCAAGTCCCAAAAGAGTCCAATGTCCACCCAGTTGGGTGGGAAGGAATATTTACAAGGTTTTATTTACAAAAGGTCCTGTTAAGCAGTGCAGGTATACACCAGTCATCAATTCAACTGACAAGGTGCTCCGCCATACACCAATACATCAAAGAGGGTAAAGTGGACTGTACAGTGAATGCTTATATATTTACATCAACCAATCAGCACTGGCTGCTGAGTCATTCTGATACTGCTATCACAAAGCCAGTCAGAACCGGTTCACTCCAGCCAGAGCTGCTAGCATGAGGACTGTCAGCTGTCACTTAGATGACCATCATCTGAATCTGACACCTCATATCTTCTCACTCTGACATTTACCTGGTGCAAACATGAGGGACTTGGGAATGTTCAGTCAGGAGAAGAAGAGGTTGAGGGGGGACAGGATGGCTCTCCTGAAGTATCTGAAGGGCTGTCACTTAGAGGAGGGCAGGGAGCGGTTCCTGTTGGCAGCAGAGGAGAGGACTTGCAGGA